ATATTAATATTTAATATCTGTGAATTGATGTTTTTGATGCTCGGAAAAACTTTGGTTTTCCGCTTCTGCCTCTAAGAGCTAGAGAAATGTTTAGCTTAAATTTTACTTTTGCTGCATTCGTAGTGAAGTCATTTTTACAGTGTTTTTTATACTTTATGTTATTTTCATTTATGCGTATGTATGCTTTTTATTATATATATGTATAAGTTGTTTTTTATATGCTTTAGTCAGTACTTGAAATTTGCTGCGCAGTTGAAGTTTAACATTTAGAAATTTGTTGTCTTTTAAGTTTCGTTTTGTCTGGCATCTAAGCTGATGCCCATTCGAACTGTTGTCCTGGGAATAGTCTCAGAGTGTGGCATTTGGAAAAGCGCTAAACACTTATCTCAACATTTAGCTTAATTTTCATTGTTTTTCTGAAAATGTTTTGCAGCTTTGAGCAGTGTTCTTTACGAGCAAAAAGTCTCTACGGAAAGTTTTAGCAAATTGTTTTACATATTTTCACGTTTCGTTTTTGTGTCAAAAAGTTTTATGTAGTTTTTTACTTTTTCGGGGAAACTCCTTGAAGGATAACTCGAACTCAAATTTAAGCTTGCCAATACGAAACTCAAAATCCAAATAACAGAACCGATTTAACGTATTATACAAAGTTGTACTTGAAAAGGCGACAACTTGGCTCTGTAATTCGCTTTAAATTTCTGATTAATTTTTCTTCTTCTCTTCTTGTGTGTGTGTGTGTGTGTATGCTAATTATTACGTATACGTCACGGATTCATAGAAAAACAGAATAGCCAATAGATTTTACACATTAGTTACTATCATATAGTTGCTGCTTATGTATGTAGTCGTGTTTGTATGGGTGTGTACTTTAGATAGTTAAGCTAAAATGTAAGATGTGTTTGTGTGTGTGTGTGTTTATTATATTATATAGTATATTAGTCTAGAGTCTAGAAGTGTTTTTTTTTTTTTATTTGTTTTTATTTTCTTTTTTTTCTTTTTTAATTTTGAGGTGCTGCTCACCTTATGTCCGCCTCATATACCTGCCTAAACGTTGCTGATCCAGCTAGAGTGGCGGCTGCGCTCGCTGATTGTAGTTGCTGGCGGTGGTATGGGCCACGCCCCCGCCAGTGCCAACGCCATGTGATGCTCAGCAGCGAGGACAGCAGTCTTAAAAGACATTCGAGTATGTTTCCAATTCCACATACCGACAAAGTCGCTTTGACTGCAGCACTCCAACTGCCACGCCTCTGTCCCCAGTCGGCGCCTCTGCCTGTGCCCCCCCTGGTGGTACATCGTCGCTGYAGCGTCGTCGCCGCTGCCGCTGCCGCTGCGGCACCACTGAGGGCCGCATAGAGCGCCCGGCAAATGCCAAACTGCAGCAGCACACAAACAGGTACACTAAGAGATAGCGACTTGGTGACATGGGAGGATGCGCTGGTGCCGCGTGCTGCATTGCTGCTGGGAACTCCCCTGGAAACAGAATGAGAAACACCTGTTTAATTTACATCTTTATTGCTGCTCTTATACTCAGTGATTGGATGAAAAAAAAAAATATATTCAATATATGTATACAGTTAGTTTTATATATGTAATAATTGAGCAACTGCTCTTTAAGTTTTCAGATAGGGTCTATATTATCTGCATTATCTAGTAATGTTAATATTAGATTATACATATGTAGTCCCTTGAGTGGAATCAGTAAGAAATTATATGTATCCATAGCAAAAACCCAGCTTAATTCTGCATAGATTTCACTTTACCCAGGAAACTAGAAACTAAATGAAGTTCCATGAAAATCCATGAAACTAAAGCATTATTTTTAAATCAAGAGAAGAAAACAAAACGCAAGGTAATAAATGTAAATGAGTTCTAGATTTGTTCTTCTAACTAAATGAATAAAGCTGATAAAATTTCTGAGAATCATTCGTTTTTATTTATCATAAGTAAAAAGTTTTTATATTTATTTTGTTTACAGTTATATAGTTATATAGCCGTGAGAGCGCAGGCAGGCGACAAAATCCATGCCACATGCTGCTGATATTAATGCGACAAATCCTGGTGCCTAGGAGAGGCTAACAATAAACAATAAAAGCCAAGCAATGCAAAAAAGTGAAGCAAAACAAATGGAAGTGAAAGAAACGAAAAACAAACAAGCCACTGTCATTGAGAGTCATACGCAAAGAGTGTCTGTCTGTGTGTGTGTGTATGTGTGTGTGTGTGTGTGAGGATGAGCATAGCGGTATGGAGTGAAAACAAAAGCAGAACTACTACTACAATAACAAGAACAACAACAACAGCAGCAAAGCAAACAAAATACAATGTGAACGGGCGGCATATAATCATAAAAATAACAACAAAACAAAATGTAACGGCAACAGCAGCGACAGCAACAACAATGCGAAATAGCAGAACAAGAGACAAAACATAATAATAATCAGAAACAAGTGTGCCAAAGCAGTTAACGGAAACAACGCGCATTGCATGCACAATATGGCAACAGAGATGGGTACACCTAGTTCTATATATATACATTTCTATCTATGTGTGTGTGTGTGTGTGTGCTGACTGACTGTGGCGATGGCAACGCCGCGGCATTATCTAGCAGACACCGTTGCGACAACAACGACGACAACTTGACATTAGTGAAAGTCGCAAAGGAAGTGGCATGCAGCATAAAGTCAAGCATGGCGAAGGCTGCGGGTTGCGTGTGCCACAGAGAGACCAAGCGCAACATAAACATAATATTCATGTGCCACACGCGCGCCCTCTCGCTCTCTCTCTCTCTCTTTCTCATTCATTCGCTGCATGGCCATTCACATGCGGAGAACTGTCGCAGCGTTAACTAAAACGAAAAACAAAAGAAAGAAGAAAAAGGAAAAAACAAACTCTGCCAGCACAGCAGCAGTACAACAGCGAAAGGAAGAGCAAGAGAGAGAGAGTGAGCGAGAGAGCGGTGAGGAGCTGCTATGTGCTGTAAGTTCTGTTAGACTTTTAGCAGAGCGCCACAATAATTACAACTGCGTGTACGAAGGATAGGGAGGATGGGTGGAAGGAGGGGCGACGAAAGAGTTCAGCACTTTGACTTTAAATGCTCTTCAGTTAGTTTCATTTTAATTTGCGTCTCGCACATTTACAGTTAACACAGCGAATATTGAATATTGAGAGTATTGCGCCAGCCACGCCCATTGAAGCAAGACGACTGCCAATTAGCATATTACAACACCCTTAGCTGTCACGACTGCTCGCTTCAGCTGTCCAATCAATATTTGCTCATTGAAGTGCGTGAAATTCACTTGTTGAGGGTTTCCGTCAAACCAATTACTAAAGAGAGCGAGAGGGAGAGAGTCAAATGCTTATATGCAGAGCTATGCAAATGTACGCAGCGGGTGGAAGCAGGTGTACATAATGGATTACATATATACTATATGCATATGGCGATGTATATGTATTAATTTATTATTATAATTTACAGCTGTATTTTATATATTGAGAGTGTAGCCATATGAAATTTATATATTCTGGATTTTTCGACATCTACTTTGCCTTTCTTAATATCGATAAAGATCGATCAATAGTTCTTGAGTTTGGTTGAAGACTATTTTGAGAGTAGACCTCTCTGTAATTCACCGAAACTTACAAAATAAAAATAAATAAAATCAATTTACTACTTCAAGGTATTTCGTAGAGTATTTCAAACATTCCAGGGTAATCGATAAAAATCTATCAATATTTCTTGAGCTTGGACTTGAAAACTTTGTATTAGAGTGTAGCCATATGAAACTTATATATTCTGGATTTTTCGACATCTACTTTGCCTTTCTTAATATCGATAAAAATCGATCAATATTTCTTGAGTTTGGTTGAAGACTATTTTGAGTGTAAACTTCTTTGTAATTCACCGAAACTCTAAAAAAAAACAAACTCAATTCACTTCTTCAAGGTATTTCTGAGAGTATTTCATACATTCCCGCTCTACTCATTCCTTTGGCTTTGTGGTTGTTCCCACACACCACACAGCCAAATTACTTAGAGCATGCTCCAATGACTCCGCCCCTCCTTTTGTGCTCGACACCTTTTGGCCTGGTTTATTTAGTGTCACTGCGTTCTTTTGTTACCTGTCGTTACATTTCTATGGCTTTGCGCTCTACGCTTCTCAATCAAACCGAGACACTACTACTACTACATTTTCGCTGTAATCGAAGTCAATTTTCCTGAGTGCAAAGTCATCTAGTTAACTTGTGCATTTCATTAATTATACGTACTACATTATTTGCCATTAACATTTAACAATGGAAAAATGCTTCATTTGCGAGCTCTTAAGACTAACTTTCACATAATTCCACTTGGTAATTTCTGTTCTTTTTTCGCTTTGTTCAGAGACCGGCGCTCAAGTCAAGATTTCAAGCATTTCATTTCTACTCTTACACTCGAGTGCATTTCCCTCACAAATATTAACTGAAGTTTCCACAAATTCTTAGAGCTCTTTCACCAACTGAAACTCACTTGAAATGCCCAACAAAGTGTTCGCAATTCAAGCATTCAGATTTAATCCACAAAGCATTCATAAACCCGCATTCACCACAATGACGTACGTGGTGCTTCTTAATCTCCCCTCTCTCTCTCACCACTCTCTTTCTCACTCTCTCTCTCTCTTTGTCTTCATCATTAGCACACTTTACTTTTGCACTTTTCCGCAAGTCTTTGTGCATTCTTCTTTTTTTTTTTTAGAACTAAACTGAACTGAACCGAACTGAACTGAGCTGAGCTGAGATGGGGACTACCCTCAATGCAATCGTCGGTCAGTCAGTCTCTCTTGCCATTTATTCATCACACCAAACTTTTCGCTTTGGTCCATTGTGCTTTCCGCAGCCATCTTAACCATAAAACATTATTATCGGGGTAGTTAAGCTTTATCACAATGTTGGCTTAGCACTCTTGGCGGAGCATTTAATCTAATAAATTTAATCTAAATACATTTTAGTGCTCGCTACCAGCATAAATAAAATCAAATCGAGCTAAGCCCGATTTAACCAAGTCAATTAAATTTGAATTTAAATGCAAATTTTTAAGATAGGTTTGAATAGATAGTCATTCTGGAATTTTTAATTTTAAAGAGTTTTAAAGAAATTTTAAATTTTAAAATTGAAGAAAATTGAAGAATTTTGTTCATATTTATTCTGAGGAATAAAAAGCAACAAAATGTATTTTAGAAAGAATAATACAACTTTGTTTTAAAATTTTAAAAACCAATTATTTAAGTGATAAAAAAGTATTTTAAGAATATTTTATTAGTATTAATAGAATTATTGTATTCAAAATAAAAGTTTTATGTCACACATATTTCTTAGCAATAAAAATTAAGATTAAAAATAAAAATTTTGATCAATTAATTAATGATTACTTAAATATAAAAAAA